TATTCTTTCCAGGAAAGCGAGCGTAGGAAACAGATGGGAAAAAACTACAAGACCCTGTCACTTCCCAGAAATAGAGGGGGCCCAGGGACAAGTGATGGTCGACCCTGGGACTTGAGTTTGATTTGTTAAGGTTGCAATTTTGTGACAAAGAAATGGCATCCAGACCGGGCGTAGTGGCCCACGCCTGTAATCCCAGCACTTTGGGAGGCCAAGGCAGGTGGATTGTCTCAGGTCAGGAGTTCAAGACCAGCCTGGGCAACATGGTGAAACCCCATCTCTACTAAAAACACAAAAAGTAGCTGAGAGTGGTGGCACACACCTGTAGTCCTGGCTACTTAGGAGGCCAAGGCAGGAGAATTGCTTGAATACGGGAGGCGGAGGCTGCAGTGAGCTGAGATCACGCCACTGCACTCTGGCCTGGGCAACCGAGTGAGACTCCATCTTAAAAAAAAAAAAAAAGAAAAAGAAAAAGAAAAAAAGAAATGGGCTGGGCGTGGTGGATCATGCCTATAATCCCAGCACTTTGGGAGGCTGAGGCGGGCAGATTGCCTGCGGTCAGGAGTTCGAGGCCAGCCTGGCCAACATGGTGAAACCCTGTCTCTACTAAAAATGCAAAAATTAGCCGAGTGCGGTGGCTAACGCCTGTAATCCCAGCACTTTGGGAGGTGGAGGCGGGCAGATCACGAGGTCAGGAGATCGAGACCACAGTGCAACCCCGTCTCTACTAAAAATACAAAACAATTAGCCAGGCGCAGTGGCGGGTGCCTGTAGTCCCAGCTACTCAGGAGGCTGAGGCAGGAGAATTGCATGAACCCGGGAGGCGGAGCTTGCAGTGAGCCGAGATCGCACCACTGCACTCCAGCCTGGGCGGCAGAGCGAGACTCTGTCTCAAAAAAAAAAAAAAAAAAAAAAACAAAAATTAGCCGGGTGTGGTGGTGCATGCCTATAATCCCGAGGCAGGAGAGTTGCTTGAAAGCAGGAAGCAGACGTTGCAGTGAGCTCAGATCCCACCACTGCACTCCAGCCTGGGCGACAGAGTGAGACTCTATCTCAAAAAAGAAAAGAGGCCCGGTACAGTGGCTCACGCCTGTAATCCCAGCACTTTGGGAGGCCAAGGCGGGAGGCTCACAGGTCAGGAGTTCGAGACCAGCCTGACCAATATGGTGAAACCCCATCTCTACTAAAATTACAAAAATTAGCTGGGCGTGGTGGCACATGCCTGTAATCCCAGCTACTTGGGAGGCTGAGGCAGGAGAATTGCTTGAACCCAGGAGGCGGCGTGGGCAGCGAGTCGAGATGGCACCACTGCACTCCAGCCTGGGTTACAGAGTGAGACGCTGTCTCAAAAACAAAAAAAGAAAAGAAAAAAAAAATCTGCATTTTACTTTCGGAATTGATAGAATATGGTTCCAAAGGGAAGGGGCTGTGAGGAGGGCCCCTGGGGAGATTCAGACCTGCTGGGTGGCCTGGGACTCATCACGCCCCCGTTTGAGTGGCAGAGCGCCCTGCCTGCAGATGGGCGGCCCCAGGACACGCTGTGCTTGGCAGGACGCCATCCCCATCTCAACCATTCTCTTGCCCCATGCATCACGACCTCAGCAAGGGGCCACTACGGGGACATGGCTCACTGCTGCGTGTGAGGTGCAGCGTGGGCCTGGGAACGTGTGGCATCTCCCGGGAGCGCCGTTTCTGCACTTCATTGTTGTTTTTTTTTTTTGTGATTACAGAGGAAATCCGCTTTAGGAATTAAACACTAGGCCTGTAAATATTTCAGTTCCTGTCTCCAAACTAGGGTCTCTCCTCTTGGGCACTATGGATGTTGGGGCCAAGCCATTCTCTGGGGTGGGGCCATCCTGGGCATTGCAGGGTACAAAGCAGCGTCCCTGGCCTTCACCCACTCCATGCCAGAAGCACCCCCAGTGTTGATGACCACAGATGTCCCCAGACATAGCCTAGTGTCCCCCGGGGACAGAATCGCCCCTCCACTCCCCACCCCCCACCAATGAGAACAACTACTATTTTTTTTTTTTTTTTTTTGAGATGGAGTCTCTCTCTGTCACCAGGCTGGAGTGCAGTGGTGTGATCTCGGCTCACTGTAACCTCTGACTCCCTGGTTCAAGTGATTCTCCTGCCTCAGCCCCCCGAGTATCTGGGACTACAGGCATATGCCACCACATCTGGCTAAATTTTGTATTTTTAGTAGAGCCGGAGTTTCACCATGTTGGCTAGGATGGTCTCGAACTCCCAACCTCAGGTGATCCGCCCGCCTCGGCCTCCCAAGGTGCTGGGATGACAGGCGTGAACCACCGCGTCTGGCAGAGAATAACTACTATTCTAAAGGCTAAGGTGGCCAGGTGCGGTGGCTGACGCCTGTCATCCCAGCTCTTTGGGAGGCCGAGGTCGGATTATTCCTTGAGGTCAGGAGTTTGAGACCAGCCTGACCAGCATGGTGCTGGGATTACAGGTGTGAGCCTCCGCACCTGGCCGCTAATTTTTGTATTTTTAGTAGAGACGGAGTTTTGCCATGTTGGCCAGGCTGGTCTTGAACTCCTGACCTCACGTGATCTGTCTACCTTGACTTCCCAAAGTGCTGGCATTACAGGCGTGAGCCACCACGCCCAGCCTTTTTTTTTTTTTTTTTTTTTTTTTTTTTTTGAGAAAGGGTCTTGCTCTATCGCCCAGAGTAGTGGTGGAGTGCCGTGGTGCAATCCTAGCTCACTGTACCTTGGAACCCCTGGGCTGAAGCAATCCTCCCACCTGGGCCTCCTGAGTAGCTGGGACCACGGACATGTGCCACCAGGTCTGGCTTTTAAATTTTTAATAGAGACAGAGTCTCCCTATGTTGCCCAGGCAGGTCTCAGACTCCTGTCCTCAAGTGATGCGCCCGCCCCAACCTCCCAGCCTGCTGGGATTACAGGCGTGGGCCACTGCACCCAGCCTCAATTCTCCCTCTTTTATGACGAATTTCTGGGGTTGATAATGGGAACTTGGAAGTGGAACTTCATGTAGAATCATGCTGCTGGCAGGGATGCCAGAGAATACATGCCCCCCTTAAACAGGCAGGGAAACTGAGGCCTGGATGTGCCTGGAAGTGGCCAGCTGGGACTGGAGCCCCGGTCTCCCGATCCCACATCGGTCGAGGGGGAGTTTTCTCCAGCATAGGATACACCTCTGGCCACCTCAGCGGACACCCCAAGCACAGCCCAGGAGCCTCGTACGGAGAATTGTGGCTTCAAGTGATAATGAGGGGGCCAGGCACGGTGGCTCATGCCCGTAATCCCAGCACTTTGGGAGGCCGAGGTGGGAGGATCACCTGAGGTCATGTTCAAGACCAGCCTGACCAACATGGTGAAACCCTGTCTCTATTAAAAACACAAAAATTAGCTGGGCATGGTGGCACACGCCTGTAATCCCAGCTACTCAGGAGGCTGGGGCAGAGGAATCTATTGAACCCGGGAGGCGGAGCTTGCAGTGAGCCAAGATCGTACCACTGCACTCCAGCCTGGGCGACAGAGCAAGACTCCATCTCAAAAAACGAAAGAGCTACTGAGGGGCCTGGAGTCCTTCCGCAATCAGCAAGGATTTTTCTGTCATCAGTTCCAAACCCCTCGGCCTGCCTTAATGCCCCCCGTGAGCCTTCCCACTTCCCCAGCGTCACTCATCCCCGGGGGTGGCCAGATGTTTGAGTCTCTCATCGCTGGACACTTAGGTTGTGTCCAGTTTTTTTTTCTTTGAGAAGGAGTTTTGCTCTGTTGTCCGTGCTGGAGTGCAATGGTGTGATCTCAGCTCACTGCAACCTCTGCCTCCCGGATTCAAGTGATTCTCCTGCCTCAGCCTCCTGAGTAACTGGGACTACAGGTGTGCAACCACCACACCCAGCTAATTTTTTGTATTTTTAGTAGAGACAGGGTTTCACCATGTTGGTGAGGATGGTCTCAAACTCCTGAGCTCAAGTGATCCGCCTGCCTTGGCCTCCCAAAGTGCTGGGATCACAGGTGTGAGCCACCATGACCAGCCTCATATGACATTTTGACCTAACAACCAACGCTCCATCAGCCCAGAGAGGTCGGGTCCATGAGTGCACTGTCCCCGCAAGGGCAGCACAGGTGACAGTTGTGGTAACTGTGTCCTGGAGCATGGCCAGCCATCGTTCCAGCCTCAGCATCGGCTTCTTTCCTGTCTACCCATTAAGCAAGTGTCTTGTGCTTTAGATTTGGAGTTACGGCAGAACCCCACTTCTGGTACTAATTTTGTTGTTGTTGAGACGGGGTCTTTGTTCTGTCGCCCAGGCTGGAGTGCAGTGGTGCAATCACAGCTCACTTCAGCCTCAGCCTCCCAGGCTCAAGTGATCCTCCCATCTCAGCCTCCCAAGTAGCTGGGACTACAGGTATGCACCACCATGCCCGGCTTTTTTTTCTTTTTTTTTTTTGAGGTGGAGTCTCGCTCTGTCGCCCAGGATGGAGTACAGTGGCGTGATCTCGGCTCACTGCAAGCTCCGCCTCCTGGGTTCACACCATTCTTCTGCCTCAGTCTTCCAAGTAGCTGGGACTACAGGCGCTGCCACCACGCCCGGCTGATTTTTTGTATTTTTAGTAGAGACAGGGTTTCACCAGGTTAGCCAGGATGGTCTCGATCTCCTGACCTCATGATCCACCCGCCTCAGCCTCCCAAAAGTGCTGGCATTACAGGCTTGAGCCACCGCCCCTGGCCCATGCCCAGCTAATTTTTTGTAGAGATGGGGTCTTGCCATGTTGCCAAGGCTAGTCTCAAACTCCCGGGCCCAAGCGATCCTCCTGCCTTGGCCTCCCAAAGTGCTGGGATTCCAGGCATGAGCCACTAGACTGGCCCTCTGGTGCTAATGTCTGCAGTGGTGAAAACGTAGCCCACCTCTGCCACTAAGGGCAACAGGGTGGAGGCAACGTCACGTGGGGTCAACGTTCCTTTGCCAAAGCTCCTCCAAACGCTTTCCCCCAAAGAGAGGCAGACCATGGCCTACAGCATTTCAAATCGTCTTTAATGAAAAAGGAAGAGATCCCAGCAAAGTCTGGCTTGACCAGTCATGCCACAAGGCAAGAACCACCTCCCATGTGCCCCCAAACTCTCCCCCAGGACAGCCCCTCTGTGGGGAGCCACGGGAATGGAAATGGAGCCTGGGTTCCTGGCACTATCATGCAGGGGTCCACTCTGACCCTCAGGGGCATTAGATACTCTGCAGCATGCGGACGGCGTGGTGAAGGCGCTGCTGGGTGGCGGGGGCGCAGCCGTGGCTCCGCAGGATGTCCAGGGAGTAGGAGGTGCCGGGGGGACCCTGCTCCCAGAGGGTGAGCTGCAAACCCTCACCCTCGCCACTCAGCACCAGTTGGGCTGGGACTCCACTGAAACTCATCTGCAAAGGGTAAGATACCAGTCAAGGGGAGAAGGGTTCCCCTGCACCTGCCGCCAGCCCTGGCGCTCCAGGAGAAGGACAAGTGGACGCTGGACCCAGAGCCCCCAATCTGGCCCCTAGTGCCTGTCACAGGAACTCGGGGTCGGGAGGCCAAGCGCTCCACTGTACGCCTGGGGAAACTGAGGCTCAGA